AAAGAAATAAGTGTTCAAATGTTCATAACTTTATTTCCATATTGTCTATGAGCCTGACTTTCCCAAACCAGGCAGCAATCAAGAATACAACTGGGCTCTTGATCTCCTCCACCACCTCTAAACTCTCTTGTTCCACAATCTGCCACCAAACAAAAAACCACATGACAATTTTTACATACTCTCGATCAATCAACCCATAACACCAGCAAAATAATTTGTTAAAATTACTAATTAAATATCTAATCGAAGCGTTCTTGAAAGAAAAATTTATGCTTTCCAAAACAAAAATTCAAGAAACGTGTGTTTCCGTGTTTTGGATAACATTATGTAAATAAAAGTTGTTTTCTACCATTCTGGTTTTGAAGAATCGAAGTTAACCTTCCAATAAGCTTAATACTAGAGGAAGCTTAATACTAGAAAATCTTGATGTCTCCTGGGTCCGGGTCTTGGGGTGGGCACGGGTGTCCTGGGGTATAGGGGAGCAAAGCTCCGAATCCCAATTATAAAAAAAAAAAAAGAAAAGAAAAAAAATAACCTTCCAAAATAATGGACTAGAACTAGAAGTGAACCATGATTTCGTATACCTAATAAACTTTTGAGCAGCCCCATTTTCTAGTTTTTAAAAGTAGCTTTTGGAAACAAATGCAAATGGCTATTTTTTTTAAAACAACTCCTTTCATTTTCATCCTTATCAGGAAAAGTGGTTGTTCAATAAAACAATGGGATGGACAAGCTACAACTCCACAATATCTCTTAATTAAGCTGAAGGCTACACAAACAGAACATCAAAGCTTAATATAGGCTCCCAAAGTCAAGTCTCAAGTCGGAAAGACTTCCTAATTTAAAATTAAATCATCTAGGGCTCACCTCAGCATAATCAAGTCGTCCACCGGCTTCTAGTATTTCATCGACCATCATATTCTGCAATTTTTTGCAATTACGTTCACCTCTTTCTGCTGCAGATTTTGCTTTTGACAATGACCTGTTTATAGACAATGCCTATTGACAAAAGATGAGATGAGAAAGGGAAATTAGTTTCTGAATCTAAGTAATCAATCCATCATGAATGATAAAGGCGAAATTCTTTGCACTCTGCAGAAACTATAGTTTGAAAAGAGGTAGACAGAAAGAACTGTGATGGAGATGAAATAATACTTCATAAAATGAAATTGGCTCTTCTCATTAAGAAATCTGAGAAAGCATAACACACTATTTAAAGAATAATTACAAAACTAACTAAGACTAACCAACAAATAACAGTCTGATAAAAGTAAATCACAACAACTAAACAGACTATACTACTTAGTTAATCGAAGAGAACCTTTTGTCTTTCTTCAGGTGAGAGGTGCACATTGCGAGAACTCAATGCAAGACCATCAGCATCACGGACGATTTCAGACCCCACGACTTTTATAGAAAAATCAAGGTCTCTAACCTACAAGAAAGTTGAGTGAGAAGTATTATCACCACCAAACAAGTGCATTTCTTAATCAAATGACAGCAACTGGCAAATCCAATAAACTGGTCGGAGTCTAAGACTAAAGATGATAAGRTTCAGAGAAGCATATATTAATATAATCCAAGAAACGAAGTGAAACAGGATGTGTTATATATGTTCTACGGAGTTCTAAACATATATAATCCAAGAACCTTGTAAATAGTGTCCACCCATATTTTAGACTATCAAAATCAGAACTAAATGAACTCCAAGGGACAAGAACTCAAGTCATACCCTGTGGGCTATATTGCAACCAAACAGGAAAATCCTCTAGATCATGAACTATTGGCTCTAGGCCAGAATCAACAACTCGAAGTGCTTTTCCAACATACTGGTGAGAATTTAACTACCAGTTCATCTAATGGTATTGATCATTATCCATTTGAAGTAAGTTCAATATTCGAAGAAGTTTTTCCTTATAAAACTTTCACTAAAGCAATCAACTTCAGAAGACAAGCAATGACTTCTGAGCTCTAAACAGACAGAAAAATCAAAGCCATTCCTCTTCATCTATCCCATAAAGAAACAAACAAAAGTAAAGACTCACCATCCGCCGAATAATCCGCCATTGCTGATAATCCTTCTTCCCAAACACTGCGACATCAGGCTCCACAATATTAAACAACTTGGCAACAATGGTGGCAACTCCTCTGAAGAAAACAGGCCTACTTCTCCCACACATCCCCTTCTCCAAGCGCTCCACTCTCACCCATGTCTCATGCCCTGAACCAGACGCCTCCAGGGAAGAAACCGCCGCCCTACCATCAGAACCGCCGCCATTTCCGCCAAATTCCACAGCTGCGTCTACTCCATAGTCGTAGAGATTATGTGGATGGAAAACAACATGGATTCCTCCAGGAACAGCCATGAGCTTCCGAATATCGCCCTCGAAATCTGAAGGGTAGGTGGAGAGATCCTCGGAAGGGGCAAATTGACTAGGGTTTACGTAGATTGAGACCACGACGAGGTGGGTGTGCTTGTGGGCCTCTTCGATGAGCGAGAGATGGCCGTCGTGGAGATACCCCATGGTGGGCACGAGGGCGATGGTTTTGCCTTGGGATCTCATGGCCCTACACCAGGTTCTCATCTGGTTCTTGTCTATTATGATCTTCGGCTTCTCCTTCCCCGCCATTGGAGATTGAGACTGGAACTGCAATTTCACAGTGATTCGAACCGGTGGACGAAATTCGAAATTCTATGTACTTTCGACTTTCGAGAGAACCGCGAGCAACAAAAATGGAAACTGAAAGCGAAACCCAACACGAACCACGAACCATCGCGAATGGCTTTTTGAACACCGCGCTCGATAAAGCTTCGAAACAATTTTCTTAAAATACATTTTTTGTCCCAAGGTCTCCCATAGATGTTTATTTTCTCCGGTCTCAAAATATACCCTCTAATCTTTAGATTTAAAAAATGATTCTAAATAATCCATATATCATAAATTAAAAAATATAAATGTGATACAATAGAGTTGACAAATTTTAATATAACTTTCGATGAATTATATTTCACAACTTTACTCCTTAGACTCAACTTTTAATAAAGGTGAATTAAGATATGCCTGAAATTTCAGGATCGTGAATCATGATCGTTAAGTGAATCTTACACATCAACGTTATAAACAAAAGACATTCACCACATACATGCTTGTACATGAATATGATTGCTTGTCTTAAGAACATATCTCCTATTCTATTGACTTTGAGTGTTAAAAGCTGATTTTCTTTCTAGGTGCACATTTGTGCACTTTTCGAACCCATTGAGTTCTCTCAAATATGATAATTCACCATAAACAACCATATATGTCAATATAAAATAATTTTATATTATTTTTATTCTAGGTGAAATTTTTTCTCTATCTTCCTTCATCTTTCTGTCTCTTCCTCATTTCTTCTTCTCCAATTTTCTTTCAACCCATGACGACTCCATAAGAGAGACCATAATAGATTTTGGTGGCAAATTCTTACAAACTTTAGAATAGTAATGGATAGCTAGTTATAAACTAGTTGTAGATAAAATATGGATAATAATTTAAAATTATTCATTTGATATATAAAATCAAACACTTATTCCAACCCTAATACTGATTTTACATATTCTCCAAACTGTCAATACATATTTAACAGAATAATACAAACATTTTTCACCTCGAACTCCATTTTTTTTCCTTTTTTTTTTTATCTACAAAGGGAGACAGACACATTATTCATAAACACCAACCAGCCCATATACCAACAAATCCCCTAACCCTACAAACTCAACAAAAAAAAAAAAAGAAAATATAAAAAGAAAATATTCATTAACTAATTAATTACATGCTAATTGGTCCCTAAATGGAGAAATTTCCTCAAAAACGGGAAGCCTCTTGGACCTAAATGGGCCTCTTTCAGTGACCAACTGCTCAAGCCCATTAAGCAAATCGGCGTCAAACCTGAGGCCCAAAAGTTCAATAGAATCGGGCAGAGACTGTCTGGACCTGATTTCGGCCAATAAGTCTCCGGCCCGTTTCTTGGCCTTGGTTTGGTCGGAGCCCGGAATTTTTCCTTCCCACACTTCTTCTAGAACCGAAATGGCCTCGATCAGCCGGCCCTGTTTCATCAGGCAAAGGCCCAAATTGCACGCCTTATTCGGGTCTGGATCTATCATTTGGGCCTTCTTGTACACTGCCTCCGCCATCATGTAGTTGGGCTTCTGCATGTAGGCCCACCCCAGATTTCCCTGCAAATTCAGGCCCATCGTCAGTATCTGAAAATTCTAATTTCACACAGATTTTTGTTGTAAATTTGAAAATAAAAAAACTAGGAATTTAGTCCGCACATTCATTTAATTTTGAATTTTTTTTTATATCCGCAAGTGTCTAAGTCAACTTTCAGATTTTTAAGTACTTTTAATTTTTTTTCCTATGGACTCCACCGCTTTCTATTTCCTTTTCACCGTCGAGCTATATTTAACGGTGGTAATTTTCTTCTCTAAAAAATAGAATGTATCATATTTTGTCGTCACTCATGCAAAGATAATGATGTAAAATTTTCCCATATTGATCGTAATCATAGTAATCAAACATGTATTCTTAATTACTAAATATTGAATTGCTATTTATAAAATAACAAAGAAATAGGGAAAGAAAAATACCAATAATCTAGAAGTTTCTTGCTTGACAGAAACCTGAAATTTCTTGCCATGAGAGCGAGCTGTTCTCGTTGGCTTTCCATGAAAAGCTTCTCCTTGATAAATCATTCTCAGTTTTCTCTTCAGCAGCTCAATTTGCTCTTCAATTCTCCCACATTTCTACCAACCACCGAAAATGAAAAAAAATATATATATATCAAATAAAAGAATAATCTAAAATTCGTAGACTATTAAATTTAATTTATAAAAAGAAGAAATTTAGAAATTGAATAGACGCAAACCTTTAAAAGGTCGATAAGAACGTTGTCGAGGGATTCTTGGGCGTTTTTGGAGCAAAGGAATCTGAACGATTTGATGATTTGAATGGCTTCTTCGGTCCTATGAACTTGCTTCATTACCACTGCCATGTCTTTGAGTGCACTTTCTATTCTGTCTCCTGTATTTATTGCTTCCCAAAATAGTAGAATTGCACTCTCAGGATCCTTCTCTATCAACTGAAATTCACATATCGAATTACAATTTTCGTCTTTATAGTCTTAAAAGTTTCAATTTTAAAGTCCTGATTTAGATTTGTTTTAATTTGGTCTATGACTATAGAAAAGTCATCTCGAATTCGCTATATCATGAACCGTAAATATATTCTATTTCATAAACTATAATATTATAATAAATGAAAATAAAATGTTAGATGCAACTAACCTTTTAACTACTCCTCAATTATTGTGTTTATACATGTGAGTTTCAACCATATGAACTTTGCCATAAACATGGAATAAGAAGATTTTTATAGAGATGCGGATCAAAAGATGTCACCCTCACACCAATTGGTAAAGGGTAAAAAGGTAATATAGAGAGTTAAAAAAAAGTACTTTCCTATAATTTAAAAAAAAATGTAAAGTATATTCAAATGAATTTATAAAGTGAAGATAGAGACTTTTCTTAGTTCTTACACACCAATATATATAATTTAACTTATAAACCTTAAAAAAAACATAGGAGAGAAATACAAACTCAAACCTATATAATTCAATTTTAGTGATAGTTATTAGTAACTGTTCAACTAAATATAACAAAATATAATTATATAAGGCTAACGTCTAAAAAAAATGTGAATTTAACTCGTGTTATTAGATTTTAAACCAATATCAAAGTATGAACAAGTAAATATGTAATTTTTAGACTTGAGAATACGGTCTACACTAACATTGTTGTCCAAAGAAATATTGAAGAGAAAATAGTGGATTTTTGTCCCAAAGAGAAAGCTACAATTCCCAATACAATTTCTTCAAGGATGATAAAATTTTGGCAAAGTTTTAGAGAGAGAGAGAGAGGAGAGAGAGAGATTACCTGAGCATATTTTGCTCTAACATAGGGAGTGTCACCAGCTGGAACCTTATGAATGACATGAAAAAGCTCATCTTTTTTCCCTTTGTTTGTGTTATTTTTTGACCCTCCCTCCATTTTATTTCTTCTTCTTCAATGGAATCCAATTTTCCCACACAAAATCAGCTGCAAAAAGGAAGGGGAAAAAAAAAAAGAGCTCTCTCCTCTAAAAATGAAGAAGACAGCACCCAATAAAAAGGGCCATCCCCGAACCAATGAACAAAGTCGCCCTTCCATCTACATTCATCACTCAACCACTTTCTCTCTCTTCCTACTTCTAATGACGGTGAAATCTCGATTGTTTGTTTCTTTTAAAATTATTACATTGTGATCCTGCAGATAAAATTTTTCTAGTTCTATTCTTTCATTATCCATTGATATTTTCAATAATTATACTTTAGTGTTGTCGTTATTTCAAACGTGACGTCTTACTCTATCGTAACTATCAATATTTATAATTTGTTGCATTGTCGTATAAAATCGGTTAAATTTAAATTTACCATGAAGTTGAATTTTCACCCCACATTAAATTTCCCATTTACCTTTTAGCAACATAACCAATAATTAATTGTTATTTATATATCACTGTGTACTTAAGTCTTACTCGTAATTATCAACACTTAATATAATTGGTTGCTTCTACTTATAAACTTCACCAATCTTAAATCTATCAAATTGAGTTTTTGCCTGCATTAAATTTTCCTCTTACTTTTTAGAAACATTAGTTGTGGTTGGCTGTGGTTAATACATCATCAATTGGTCACTGCAATTAAATTAGTTAATGTTCAATTAGGGTTGAAAAAATTTTGGTACTATATACTTTTTTTTAAACAACAATTTAGTCTTCATACTTTCAAACTTATAACAATTGAATTCTTAAACTTTAACATATAATAATTTAGTCTCTATAAATTAAAATTTGTAATGATTTAGTTCCTATCACGAAAATGTTATTAAGGTTTATCTTAAAGAAATGAGAACGGTGTCCTGTTTAGATTCTTAAACGATAAAATTTATTCTTCATATGACTGTATGGACTGAATCTAGCCATTATAACATTCGGATTCACTCAGATCCTCAAGGGGAAAATATTTGGAAAAAATAATAATCAATTGCTGTAAAATGTTAGCATCCAATAGTAATTTTTCGTAGATTTTTTAGGGATAAAATAAAAAAAGCCTCGAAATTTACGAATTGGGAACTTTATAGTTTTAAAATAATAATAAAAAATTGGTCCACCAAAAAAGCTTTTTGTGCATTTGTCTGATAATGAATAAATACAGTGAATCTGGACGCTTTTATGTACCATAATTAACATAAATGTTTATCGAATAAACTCAACTATGTTTGACTTTATAATTGATTTTTTCAATAACACAAATTGTCAAATTTCTCCTCCCTTGTAATTCTTTGATGAGAACTTATAATATTTTCTAAAAATAGAAGCAGCAGTAATTAAACGGTAATATTTTATAATTACTATGGAAAATATTGTCTAGAAATATTTCAATTGTGAGGTGGTGGATTAATTAAAAAATCTCAAATTTCAATTTATATTTTTTTTTCAAAAAAGGATAATAGTGAATGACTTCTTGTTATAAATATTCGTGAGTAGCTTAATCTCACTAGAAACTATCTTGATTTTTTACTATTGCAGGACAATATTTGATTATCAATTGACTCCATAACATTGTCGATTTTCCTTTTTTTTTCTCTCTTTAATACTATGTTTTCGACAATGAATTGAAAAAAATTGATGATGAGATTTATTTTAGCAATCATTAAACATAAATGAAAGATGACAGACATTGACAAATTGGAAAACTAGTTCTAAAAAAAATGGTACTGATAATTATCATGTTTTTCACTATTTTTAGTATCTAAAATTTATATTCACACAATTTTTCCTTAAACGAATATCATACACCATGGTATAGTCATTGAAAGCGTAGTGAAAATGGACCCATATTTCTCTCGTGTTAATTTCACTACAAATGATCTGCATGTTAGTAACTATTAAATTAATGCAACTAAATGAACACAAAACCAATCTTTTATTACATTTAACACTGTTTATCAAGATTGAAGGCAAAATTGAGACAAATATGAAACCAAAGATATAACTAAACAAAAAAGTTATATGTAAAATAGTTAATTCAATACAGTGGTTGTAAGGGAAGAAAAACAATATGGCTGATGTCTTAACGTGAAATTTCAACAGCTTTAAAAAGGCCAAACTTCAATAAAACTTTTCAAATCGATTATAGACTTCTAACATATCGATAACATCAAAATTCCAATCAAATAAAGAGAGCAAAATTAATGAAGTAATCAATCAATCTTCAACGGGTTGAGAAATAAAGAATAGGAGCTCAACTAAGTAGAAGAAATGAATACAAAAAAAATGCTGAGTACTGGAAACCATATGGGCAAAAACAAATTACATTGTGAAAGAACTGAACTGACACAGACAGCTCTTATAAGCTAAATGCAAAACATGGAACAAAAAAAAAAACCTTGCCCTACCACGTTATCAAAGAGCAAAACAAGAAAATACTGCTCAAAAACGCTTTAAGAAGCCAAATTTTCACGCCATTATAAACAGTATATTCAGATAAAAGCATCTCACTGGCCAAGGCAAAGCATTTAGCTCAAGTAAAAAGAACCAATAAAAAAAAAACGAATAACTTTTTAACTAAGCCTGGGTTCTACCAGCACCACCGCCCCTTGTTCGTCCACCCATCCGACCCCGACCACGACCATAACCCCTACCCCCTCTGCCTCTATCATAGCCAGTTCCTGAAAGTAATGCAATTTGATTGGTACAGTTTAGCTTGATCCATCATCCCAACCACAATTGTTTTCAGCACATTCTAGAAGGATTGGATGTTGCATACACTAATATTCAATCCCCAAGATTTTGATTAAAGCAATAAATAGTGGAGAGGACACTTGAAAACATTGCTGACTCTCTTTTTAAAAAATCTAAAAATACAGATCACACCCCAGGAGATTAAGCAATTAGGTGGCACCAAACATGAACAAAGTCCACAAAATGACAGTTACCTGACCTCACCAGTCATCGAATGATTCTGAACAAGAGAAGAGAGTTGAAAAAGAAACTTACCACGATATGTCCAACCTCTGCCTCGCCCGCCTCCTCTGCCCCAATTCGAGTACCCACCATTATCTATGTCGACAAAATAGAGACTAAAAAATTAGATCATACTCAAGAATAAAGCATGTATGAAAATGAAAGAGCGAAGAGTTCTCAAATCAAGTCTATCAAAAATAATGATCCAATTTTCTCAAAAAAAAAAAAAAAAATTTAAAATTAATGATCCAAGTTCCACACCCACCCTGATAATACCCAGATCCACCTTGATAGTTGTTGCCAGATCCACCTTGTTGGTAGTTGCCAGATCCACCTTGGCAGTTGCCGGATCCGCCTTGGTATTGACCATATCCGCCCTGGTAGTGGCCATATCCCCCTTGGTAGTTGCCGTATCCCCCTTGGTAGTTGCCATATCCCCCTCTGCCCCAACCACGCCCTCTACCTCTACCACGGCCTCGGCTTTGGCCATACGGATCTGCCAAATGCATGAATGTCTCAGAGTTCAAGTAAGAGAGAATTATAATCAAACGGTTAACGTGGCATTTAATCCACCTTCACTAATAGTTCAATCTCCAATAAAATTTGTTTATAGATTAGATTTGTCCAGGCACATTAACTGTGGCTTCCACAAGGAAGTTACTCCTACCAATCTCTGAAGGGGATATCTTTGTGGTTTGTGCTTATTATACGAAATTATGCTGGCAAATTTGGTTCGGATAAAATCATTTCAAGTATCTCAAACCCATCACCAGCATCTACTCTATCCTAACATCCCAAAGCCCCAATTCACTGGGACCACCGCATTGGGCTTAGGGGCATTTTGAAGGGGACATTGGTAAGAGGTTAAACTGAAAGCATTAATTTTCCAGACACTCGAGAAAATTTTTAACCTTAAATCTTTGGTTTGTTAACTCATGGAATGATGTATCATAGATCCCAAAAGCATTCTTATTCTGTATCCATGTATTTTTAACGTGTTGTTGTTGTTGTTGTAGCGGTTAGATATCCAATATGAATGGTAAAATTTACCTAATCCATCAGCTTAAGATTTTAGGTTGATTGGTTGTTTAATCCAGTTTAAAATGGTATTTAGAGCAAGAGGTCTTGTGTTCGAACCCTTGCATTGTTGTTTCCTCCCCATTTACTATTGATTTCCACTTGGTCTTTTACAATTTTCCAAGCCCACAAGTGAGAGAGAGTGTTAGATATCTAATATAAATGATTAAATTTACTCTAACCCATCCGTTTAAGCTTTTGGGTTGATTGGTTGTTTGATCATGTTTAAGAGTAGCATTATTACTTAAAGGTGGAAGATATTTCATTCTCAACATTTTAACAAATTAGTGATTTTATTTTTTTCAGAGACAAGGATCACCTTCATTAACAGCATTGTAATAAGGACGAGCCTGTCTGGGCTGTTGTTGTTGTTGCTGCTGATAATTAAATTGTTGCTTTGGCTGTTCCACAAAATGTGGAGCTTGATACCTACAAATAATATCATTTTTCATCCATAAACAAACATTCACAAGCTCGGATATAAAAAATGGAAAGGAGAAGATAAAGGACTAGAATTTCATCTCCTATAGTTTCCAAACCACTTACCCAGGAGAGTTTTTATTTAGCTCCCGATTAGACAAGGTAATTGAAATCATTGAGACATGACGAGTCATCTCCACACTGCACCATACGTCAGACATTATTTCTTAAACATCTGCAGAAGAGTATGCTAAAGCAACAAACCCACACCAGAAAGCAAATCTGCAATTGCAAACTAAAGAGTACAAACCCATAAAAAGCAAAGTCATGAGTATGAGCATTAAGAAACCAACCCGCAGCAAGTGAATAGGTCTTCATCAGGTAATTAACTATGAATACTAGAGATTAAAAACTTACGGTACAAGACCTTCTTCAATAGGTTCCCATACATCGGTTATGCTCACAGAGCTGATGGATGTTTCCTGATGCAGTCGTGGAGTTCTCTTCTGTTTTGGGATGCAATTGGCCTATTAATTATATAATAAACAACACATGCACAGTTGCACAATGTAAAGGACTCAAACCTTTAAAATTTCTGCAATGGCGACTGCTTTACTGATTGCCTGCCCCATGGCTTTAAAGACTATCTCTCTAACACGTTTGTCCTGGATAAAAGTAAAAAGTTCACAATATATTAAACCAAAATACAAAAGATAAATTCTTAGTCAACATATTAAGTGAACCAATGTGGCATGAAAAATCCTCGATTAAAAAAGCGATAAATCATGGAAAGATATGTATATTTAAATTAACAAAAAAGAACATCTGGCAAGACATGGTTTAAAATATATATCTAAATAAACAAGGGGAAAAAACCTGGACTTTTCTTTTCTTTTCTTTTCTTTTTCCTTTCAAGATGGTTTGATATCAATTCATGTTCACCATGAATTCTTCAAAAACAAAAACAGTCTTGAGTAGCTGTTTTTATGAGTTTTCAAATAACTTTTTTCTTTTAACTTATAGAAATTTCACAAATTCATTAGACAAAACCCCAATCGCATTTATTATTGACTCCATTAACACACTTTCTCTTGCTAATCTCCTTCTCTCTGTATGCCGGTTTATTCTCTCTCTTTTTTTTTC